CTCACACAGTGCACCCTCCGGCTGCTGTCTCATTCCTGCCAGCACTGTATCATACACTCACACAGTGCACCCTCCGGCTGCTGTCTCATTCCTCCCAGCACTGTATCATACACTCACACAGTGCACCCTCCGGCTGCTGTCTCATTCCTGCCAGCACTGTATCATACACTCACACAGTGCACCCTCCGGCTGCTGTCTCATTCCTCCCAGCACTGTATCATACACTCACACAGTGCACCCTCCGGCTGCTGTCTCATTCCTCCCAGCACTGTATCATACACTCACACAGTGCACTCTCCGGCTGCTGTCTCATTCCTCCCAGCACTGTATCATACAGTCACACAGTGCACCCTCCGGCTGCTGTCTCATTCCTCCCAGCACTGTATCATACACTCTCACAGTGCCCCCTCCATTTGTTGTCATCTAACTAATTGACTTACTCTGTATACAATATTGTACACACTATATAGGTACCGTCTAGCCCCATATGCTACTTACTGTTTTTCCATTAACTTGTTTTTTCTCTTGGTGAGAAGCCATACAATCTATATCCCAGAAATAATACACAACTCTGCACTTTGAACACACTTGTGTTGAAACAGTTATCCCAACTTTACATTGTGTCAAATCCCACTCTGATAATGTTTGTGAGTGAGTGTGAGCATGTCTGTATAGAAACCGGACTCAGAACTAAAACCCATAGACTGGTAGAATGAATGGGCACTCAGTGTGTATATAGGATGGCATACATTACATTGGAGATACAAAACTTAGAGTAAACACAGTATTGCAAATACAATTGGCATGATTTAATTACATCTGGATAAAGTACTGTAAATGGAGGGGAATTACTGGACTTCTTGTGGGTATTTTATTTCTAATTTATTTACCATGTGATTCCACATTAGTTGTTATCTGTATCAAGTAACACGGTTTACATATTGTGTGGATTATATCAGATTGCTAGTGTCACATGTAGAACACCAATCTAACTCTGTGCATGTAAGGGAAGAGATCCACAGGTATGTTCCAGTATTTAACACATAATTATCACAAGGACAAGTCAGTATTCGTATGTAGCATGTGAGACACACAAAACAAGGCTGCTCCTTTGTAGGATAAATAATTAGTGATGATCATGGTCTATGTGTGCTTGGAAAATAGAAATTCTAAATGTGAAGCTATCACCTTGGAAACCTATGGAATGTTGCTCCCAATTGCTCCACTTTTAGAACCTAGTGGCAGTTTTATTAGTATGACCTAAGGTTCCTTAGTAGAGACTGCTTTGTCATGTCCCACTGAGGACATCTGATCTGAATTTGGTCTCACTCCCACCTTCCCCCTCCTCTCTACCCAGGCACGTGTCTCCAGATTCTCAAGATTGGCCACAGCCTCAATTCAATAGCAGGAGGTTAATTTTCCTGCAAGAGGTGAAAGGTGCATGATCTGCACACACACACAAACATCATTCATAGCTACTGGCCATACCTCCAGATTGGCTGCCTTCACAGCTTAGAAAGGGAGGACTGTTAAACCAATTATTTCTCATAATCAATAAATGTTACATTAATAGAATGTAAATACCCCCGCTTCCATTGCAGAGTTGAGAAACTATTCAATAAATTGTTTTCAGGATGGAAGAAATACATGATATATATATTTAATATGGTGACAATTACTTCTTACTTCAATACAAACGAATATAATAAAGACAGAGTAAATGAAACAAGAATACATTGTATGAGACTGTTACCATTTGTGTTTGTCTTTGCAGCTAGGCTTAAGTTATTTATTTCCTGAGAGCTGCAGTCTATGTTGTGATTGAAGTGTGCAGGTTGTGTTGATGTACTAAGAATGCCTTACATTAGAACATTCACTCAGGCTCTATGGGTGTTCGGTGTTATTACAAGTTATTAAATGTTATTGGGATTTCTACCCTGCCAGAGCTTGCAAGGTGAACAGATCCATCTATGGGATGTATTCATAGAGGATAACCAGGATTACAGAGTGTCTATTAACCCCAGTGTATAGAATACCCCATACCCCAGTATAGCGCTGTATTAGGAGCGTAGTGCTATGTGCAGTGTATATAATACCCCATACCCCAGTATAGCGCTGTATTAGGAGCGTAGTGCTATGTGCAGTGTATATAATACCCCATACCCCAGTATAGCGCTGTATTAGGTGCGTAGTGCTATGTGCAGTGTATATAATATCCCATACCCCAGTATAGCGCTGTATTAGGAGCGTAGTGCTATGTGCAGTGTATATAATACCCCATACCCCAGTATAGCGCTGCAGTAGGAGCGTAGTGCTATGTGCAGTGTATATAATACCCCATACCCCAGTATAGCGCTGCATTAGGAGCGTAGTGCTATGTGCAGTGTATATAATACCCCATACCCCAGTATAGCGCTGCATTAGATGCGTAGTGCTATGTGCAGTGTATATAATACCCCAACCCCAGTATAGCGCTGCAGTAGGAGCGTAGTGCTATGTGCAGTGTATATAATACCCCATACCCCCGTATAGCGCTGTATTAGGTGCGTAGTGCTATGTGCAGTGTATATAATACCCCATACCCCCGTATAGCGCTGTATTAGGAGCGTAGTGCTATGTGCAGTGTATATAATACCCCATACCCCAGTATAGCGCTGTATTAGGAGCGTAGTGCTATGTGCAGTGTATATAATACCCCATACCCCCGTATAGCGCTGCATTAGATGCGTAGTGCTATGTGCAGTGTATATAATACCCCATACCCCAGTATAGCGCTGCATTAGATGCGTAGTGCTATGTGCAGTGTATATAATACCCCATACCCCAGTATAGCGCTGTATTAGGTGCGTAGTGCTATGTGCAGTGTATATAATACCCCATACCCCAGTATAGCGCTGTAGTAGGAGCGTAGTGCTATGTGCAGTGTATATAATACCCCATACCCCAGTATAGCGCTGTATTAGGGGCAGCGTAGTGCTATGTGCAGTGTATATAATACCCCATACCCCAGTATAGCGCTGTATTAGGAGCGTAGTGCTATGTGCAGTGTATATAATACCCCATACCCCACTATAGCGCTGTATTAGGTGCGTAGTGCTATGTGCAGTGTATATAATACCCCATACCCCAGTATAGCGCTGTATTAGGAGCGTAGTGCTATGTGCAGTGTATATAATACCCCATACCCCACTATAGCGCTGCATTAGGAGCGTAGTGCTATGTGCAGTGTATATAATACCCCATACCCCACTATAGCGCTGCATTAGGAGCGTAGTGCTATGTGCAGTGTATATAATACCCCATACCCCACTATAGCGCTGCATTAGGAGCGTAGTGCTATGTGCAGTGTATATAATACCCCATACCCCAGTATAGCGCTGCATTAGGAGCGTAGTGCTATGTGCAGTGTATATAATACCCCATACCCCACTATAGCGCTGCATTAGGTGCGTAGTGCTATGTGCAGTGTATATAATACCCCATACCCCAGTATAGCGCTGTATTAGGAGCGTAGTGCTATGTGCAGTGTATATAATACCCCATACCCCACTATAGCGCTGCATTAGGAGCGTAGTGCTATGTGCAGTGTATATAATACCCCATACCCCACTATAGCGCTGTATTAGGTGCGTAGTGCTATGTGCTGGTACGTATACCCCAGTATAGCGCTGCATTAGGAGCGTAGTGCTATGTGCAGTGTATATAATACCCCATACCCCAGTATAGCGCTGTATTAGGAGCGTAGTGCTATGTGCAGTGTATATAATACCCCATACCCCAGTATAGCGCTGTATTAGGAGCGTAGTGCTATGTGCAGTGTATATAATACCCCATACCCCAGTATAGCGCTGCAGTAGGAGCGTAGTGCTATGTGCAGTGTATATAATACCCCATACCCCAGTATAGCGCTGCATTAGGAGCGTAGTGCTATGTGCAGTGTATATAATACCCCATACCCCAGTATAGCGCTGCATTAGATGCGTAGTGCTATGTGCAGTGTATATAATACCCCATACCCCAGTATAGCGCTGCAGTAGGAGCGTAGTGCTATGTGCAGTGTATATAATACCCCATACCCCAGTATAGCGCTGTATTAGGTGCGTAGTGCTATGTGCAGTGTATATAATACCCCATACCCCCGTATAGCGCTGTATTAGGAGCGTAGTGCTATGTGCAGTGTATATAATACCCCATACCCCACTATAGCGCTGTATTAGGTGCGTAGTGCTATGTGCAGTGTATATAATACCCCATACCCCAGTATAGCGCTGTATTAGGAGCGTAGTGCTATGTGCAGTGTATATAATACCCCATACCCCAGTATAGCGCTGTATTAGGTGCGTAGTGCTATGTGCAGTGTATATAATATCCCATACCCCAGTATAGCGCTGTATTAGGAGCGTAGTGCTATGTGCAGTGTATATAATACCCCATACCCCAGTATAGCGCTGCAGTAGGAGCGTAGTGCTATGTGCAGTGTATATAATACCCCATACCCCAGTATAGCGCTGCATTAGGAGCGTAGTGCTATGTGCAGTGTATATAATACCCCATACCCCACTATAGCGCTGCATTAGGAGCGTAGTGCTATGTGCAGTGTATATAATACCCCATACCCCAGTATAGCGCTGTATTAGGAGTATAATATTATGTTTAGGGTGAGGGGTGATGATCAGCTCTGGGGGTCCTGGCTGTGCTGGGTGAGGTGAGGGGGGGGTTAATCCCACCCTTTGTAGTGCTGATGGTCAGCCGCCCCCGGGGAGGTGAGGCCGGCACGTGGCTCTGTATAGAGGGGCAGCCAGGCGTGCGGGGGGCGGGGCCGGGCGTGTGCCTGCAGCCGGAGGGCAGTGAGGGCGGGGCTCAGGTACATCTGTCACATCCCCGCCCACGGCAGCACTCCGGTACCCAGCGGCCGGCCTCTGATTGGCTGCCCGGCTGACAGCTCTAGGGGATGCCACCTATAAAAGGCAGCCGGGCCGCGCACTCGGCATCACTCAGAGCGAGCCGTGCAGCACCTCGGACAGCGAGCGCCGGCACAGAGCGGGCAGCACCTCGGACAGGGGCAGACAGTGAGAGACAGTGAGAGACAGAGAGAGCAGGACCAGGGACAGGGCATCCCCCGCACTGACCCGGCACCATGCCCAAAGGATTCCTGGTGAAGCGGAGCAGGAAGTCCCCGCCGGTCTCTTACCGGGTCCGGGATGAGGAGTGTGACCGGCCCGAGCTGCCCCCGGCCTGGATGCTGCTGGCTCTCTATCCCAGCGGAGGAGCCCCGGCCCCCGCCAGCCCTGACCGAGCCGCCCCGGCCTGCAGCCCCCGAGCCCCCCCGGCCGGGCAGTTCGGGAACCCGGAGTCCGCGCAGCAGGCGCTGTCCAGCCCGACCCGGCCGGTGAGCAGGGAGTACCTGGACCGCGGCTTCAGCCTGGGCTCCCCGGTGTCCGCCGAGTCCTTCCCGGCCGCAGCCAGCTCCATGGAGCCGCTCCACCCGCCCAGCGAGCTGGGTCTGACCGCCAGGAAGAGAGCGGAGCCCGAGCCGGCTACCAACCCCGCCGGGCCGCCGCTCCCCGCCCCCACCACCACCGCCGCCAGCCAGCCGCAGCACAAACCGCCGGCCGCCAAGAAGACCAAAGCCATCCGCAAGCTGACCTTCGAGGACGAGGTGACCACCTCCCCCGTGCTCGGCCTGAAGATCAAGGAGGGCCCGGTGGAGCGGCCGGCCAGCTCGGGGCCGCGGCCGCTGGGGGAGTTTATCTGCCAGCTGTGCAAGGAGCAGTACCGGGACCCCTTCTCCCTGGCCCAGCACCGCTGCTCCCGCATCGTCCGGGTGGAGTACCGCTGCCCGGACTGTGATAAGGTGTTCAGCTGCCCGGCCAACCTGGCCTCGCACCGCCGCTGGCACAAACCCCGGGCCCCCCCGGCCCCCGCCCCCGACCAGCCGCCCCCCGACCGGGACACCCCCAGCCCCGGCAACTCCGAGTCCGGCTCCGAGGACGGCCTGTACGAGTGTCCGCGCTGCGCCAAGCGCTTCCGGCGCCAGGCCTACCTGCGGAAACACCTGCTGGGCCACCGCCAGCCCGGCCCGCCTGGCCCGCCCGGGGAGCCCGCCGAGTGCCACCCGTGCCCGGTGTGCGGGGAGACCTTCCCGGGTAAGAGCAGCATGGAGCGCCACGTCCGCCTCCTGCACTCCGGGCAGCTCTACCCCTGCAAGTACTGCCCGGCCACCTTCTACAGCTCGCCCGGCCTCACCCGGCACATCAACAAGTGCCACCCGTCCGAGAACCGCCAGGTCATCCTGCTACAGGTCCCCGTCCGCCCGGCCTGCTGACAGCCCCCAGGGGCCACACCTGGACACTCACTGCCAGCCTGGGGGCCACACCTGGACACTCTCTGCCAGCCTGGGGGCCACACCTGGACACTCTCTGCCAGCCTGGGGGCCAATCCTGGACACTCTCTGCCAGCCTGGGGGCCAATCCTGGACACTCACTGACAGCCTGGGGGCCAATCCTGGACACTCACTGACAGCCTGGGGGCCAAACCTGGGCATTGAGGGCACCTAGAGTCAGCCTGGGCAATGGAGACACTTCCAGGCTTGGCAGAGGGGACTTTGCTGCCAGGCTCAGTATGTAACCCATGCCATGCAGGAAAGCACAGACAGCTCCTGGTGGGCAGTAAGAGGGGGGCATGTGGGCACCTGCACAATGTCGATCAGCAGAGCCAGTTATGCACATAGTATGTATTACACGCCCATGGACAAGGGGACAGACAGTACTTAACCTGGCACAAAACAGCTTGTTACTCAGCCTGTCTCCTAACTTCAGGATTTGACTGTCAGCTCTGTGGTCTACTGCCCACTAAGGACTGTTACACATATGATGGCCCACTGCAGATTACCCCTTGTCACTCTCCATTAAGGGGGAGGTCAGGACACCTGCCTAACTAGAACTGTGCCTTTCCTGATTGCAAGCAATGCCATCCCAGAGACCTGTCAATCTTTTAGCTGCCAAATCAAGACAACAGCAGCCATAGCTTGAAGTGCATTACAAAAAAAAAAAAAGTGGTTATTGTGCTTTAATGCCAGACAGCATCATCTAGATTAACAAAGGGGAGAGAGCACTTTTGGTTCCATTTTTGTAAGTGTGTTTTTGTTTAATATTTTTGATCAGAAAACAAATGTACTAAATAGTTGTACCCATTTTGTTAAGAGAGGGCAGCACCACTAAGGTAATTCAACTATTTCGGGTGAGATCCATATGCACAGCACTGTACAAGCAGCAAATGAGGATCCAAAGCAAATGCACTCTAGAATGCCAAGGGAGCTTAAAAAAAGTACAAAGATCAGCCCTTAACGTGCCAAGAAGGGCTGAAACAATCAGAGATTTTCTTGCTCCCCCTCCCCCTTAGCACTCAGATTTATAGCACTAATCAGAAAAAAAAGGTGATAGGGCACTAACCTAGCCACTGCCAGACTCATACCCATAGGGGCTACCTAGCAATATTGTTTGCTGCTATTACATTGCTGTGATGGTATTTTTCTATTATAAGGAATAGAATTCCTTTCGCATGGTATCCTCATGCAAGTTCTCATTTTAATGCATTAAAAAGCCCGTTTCAGTTGTACTGATCACATTGCTGTTTTGCTGCTCTCTTTCAATAATGTTGGTGATGCAGATGTGAAGTTGTTGTCTATCACTGTTTCAAAGTGCTTACCATTCATTTAATGACAAGCCCAAGGGGCATGGCCTGTGTATCTGAGGACATCTGTTCACTTGTCTTTGTTGTAGGTTTAAAAGAATAGCTTAGACTGGGATTGCAGAATATTACTTCATGTAATTGGTGTCCCCTAAACTAGTGCATCGCTAGTGTGGCCTTGTATTTAACCTTTTTTTAAAAAAATTTTTTTTAGTGCAAGTGGAAAGAGCAATAGCATTTTATAGCTCGCCCTTGTTACACTGTGAAGGGTTAAATTGCAGGATAGGCTTCATTTTGTCCCATTTAACCGTAGGGGATGCCTTTTGAGCCACCCATGCTAGCCATGGACTAGGGTTAAGGTCTACAGCAGCTTTTGTCTTCTGTAACTTTTGTCTTATTAATGTATTTTTCTAGCCTACGGGTTCATGTTTTCAGTCAATATTGAGAAATACTGCCTTGTTGTTTCACAGCCTTCATATTGAACGAACTTGACTATTAGCTTTATAACGGCTTGTGAACTGCTGGAATCTGTCTTTATATATTTTCTGTGAACAAATCAAAATTTCTTTGGGAGGTGGGTGGGAAGGGATATATGACTTTAGTCTTAGCCACAAATGCCTTGAAGTTGTTGTCTTTTTAACTTGGTAGACAAAGCTGCCTTTTTTTGCCACTTTTACTGATGTAGAGGCCAGCAATTCATCCCATAACAGGGTCCTTTAATATATTCTTGAAAATATTTTTTACATTTCATTAATAATTTTATTTTACAATTTTCGCCCCTGAAAAAAAATGTTCTGTTGGAACCACAGACATTTGTTTACTCTCCAAATGTATATTCTAATTTTATGATTATGTTTATTTATTTTATTTATTTATATTAATTATGAAGATATGACTATTATTTGATCTGTTATGTTGGTGTTTAATATTTTTTTCTTGACATTTCACTGTACATTGCAGACTTTTTTTTTTTTTTTTTAACTTGCTACTTAAAACAAATGTATAAAATAATGAATGGCTTTCCCTTTCTACATTCCAAAACAAGACATTATTTCCATTTACTGTGCTTTAAAAGGGGCAGATAGCTCATATGTTTAGAAGCAATCTTTTTTTCTACACACACTATTTTCTTAACTGCTAGCAATTTATAGAATGCTTCAATAGAACTGTTTCGACTGTGTAACAATTTGCTATTCAAATAAAATATTTTCAAATTCAAATAAATACAACGTGACTTGTGTTTTATGACAATTATGTGATAAGATATTTCTTACGGTAACATACAGTGATTACATGAACTTCTATATGTTTTTTAATGTTGGTGGTCATTTTATACTGATTTACCTTATACAGATACATAAAGGGACTGGGCTCCAATACAATATTGTTCAATAAATGGTGGGGGGTGGCTACTAATTAAAATATTAATGTAGATATACAAAAATTCAAGCCTATGAATAGTACTAATATATATTATTCACAAATTGTAGTAACTACACACTTTTCATATGCTTCCTAAACTGTTACTGATCTTATCCCAGCAATACACAGGGGATAAAATATATATATATATATATATATATATATATATACACACACACACACACACACACACACACACAACTAACACTATTTTTTGTGCTTAAAAAACCCCCATTTATTTTACCGGTCACTTAACACAATTATAAAAAAGAAACCATTGCAATATTTCTAGATACTAGATTCATGGTATGCCTATGAATAATGCATTATAGATTTTTATATTGCTCTTAGTTATGCTAAAGTTAAACGTATAATGAATTGCATCCATTCACATGATGTTTCATACTAAAACTCACAAATTTCTGTCAGAAAGCAGAACTATTGGTACATTATCAAAAAAAAAAAAAAAAGTAGATATCCTTTTAAACTCTTTTTGAAATTTACTAAAATACCTGACAAAGGCATTTACTTGCTTCTTCTTCTTCTTCTTCCATTCAGTTCTTAAGAGGTTTATTGAGTAAAATATAATTTACTGGCAATTCACATTTTACCCTGCAATGGCTGAAACTGGAAAAAAAATCTTCAAGTTATCAATTTTTACATTTCCAACAATTCACACTTTTGTTTTTTGTCTTAAGTTGCACATTATTTATGTGAAGTAAAGTCACTTTTCAAAGACAAACTAAACAAAACCAACATTTCTTAACCGCCAAGGTTAGGGTCTAAAAACTGTCCCCTCTATTCACTGTCCTTTGGAAAGAGACCATGTTAATTCTTTATTCTAGTCACAACTGTGTTCCCTGAGCAACGTCAACCTCTTTGATCCTGGGACAAATCTAAGATGTTTTGTGATATGCATTTAAGTTAAAAAATATAATCTGCAAAAAGATTTTTTGTTTTAAAAAAATAAAATAAAAATCTAATTCTCCAACAAAAAAATGAGTTCCCCGGCTAATGCAATGTACATTAATTTGGGTCCAATAGTACGAATCCCTACAGTAAACCGATAAAATAATGGATACACATTGATTTGTAACCGCATTTATTTTGTGTTTTTGAGATGACAAATTATTAGATTGTGTGACATTATTATAGCTTGCTACACATCAAGTAATATTTACTTTTTTTTTTACCATAAATTTCCCTTACCGCTTTTATTACCTGAAAGCAATACTGGATTTAATTTCCTTTTGCCATAAGTAATGAGTAAATGTAAACACATACAGTGTTATTCACTTAAATGGGCATTCAAGGTGAATTCTTAGTTTTTGGCTATAAAAGCCACACTGCAAAAAATTTGAATTGGACATGTTTTAGAGCTTAGTGGGTTTGTTCTATAATTTTACATTTGAATTTTTTTAACTACACTATGAATTTCCAACAACTTGGACTTTAGTAATCCCCAGAGTATAAAACAATGATGTGCAAAGATTAGTGCCACGAGTCTACTAAACAATGAAAGCATACATATATATACATAAATATGAATTTTAAAAAATAAAGCTCCAAAAAGTGCAGAAAATAAAATTCTAGCACTCCTACATAGATGTAATGATGATACAGTATCTTAATATTTCGAGAATGATCATGGTTTGTTAGGGAAAATATCACTTTTCTAGTAAAGCACTGTAAAAAGCAATGAAAACATTTATGTGATTGTGTGCCTTTTTAAAACAGCCATCAGCACCTATGTTTGGGAATACAATTTCCCAAACTACCTGCTGTATTTTCTGCAATAATAGATTTGTGAATGGCTGTATCACCACATGTAGAAAATAAAATTACTTAACTTAAAAACAAACAAACCGAAGACAAATTATATACAAAATGTACGTACCGTATGTTAAAATGCTACCAGCTTCTTTATAGTGGATAAAAAAGTTTGAACGTTTGCCCTTTACGTGTATTTCCATAAAACTGCAAGCAGATTGAGATTTATTTTTTTAAGTCTAGATTAATGTTTAATTTTACACATTTTATATCAACTTTTGCCACTGGTTAGAGTTTATTATTTTTCTGTTTCTAAAAAAAATAATCTTCACCTGTCTGTCAAAACTCAGTTGGAACCCACACATTTAAAACCAATGTGTAGTAATTAATTAAGCATCTCTCTTCTCTCTATAGAATGAAACATTTAGGAAGTAAATATAATTGATTTTTTACAGGCATCTTATGGATTTAAACCTTTTAGTGTCCAAAGCATGCATCCTAATATTTAGCAGGCAACAGGTTACATACAAACAGTAGATCAGTTTATACAATTTAAAGCTGTCTGAGCATTAAGAGTGCACATTTCTTTCAAAATGCAATATTGTTTAAACAGCTGTTTTGATAATGTTTAGGATAACAAAATGTCTTCTTTTCAAAGCAATGTGATTTGATTTTACCAAACACATTTTCCCAGGAAAAATGCATTGAGACGTATGCTTTAAAGTACATCCAGGCAGTCAGATAACAGTGTTTTCAAAGCGACTGATGGAAGTGACAAATGCTTTAAGGGTCTTGCTGGGCTCAGAGATTGCCTGAAGAGACTTTGGCATTCAATGGGTATAACCAGAGTTCAGTTTTACAATGCAGAGGGCAGAATATTTGCTGAGGTTTAATCTATTTATTATACAGGACCCAAGGCACTAAAAGAATGACTAATGGGATGTTGTCAGAATTAACCGAATCCTTACCTGATTAATATTATTGTATTGTTAACCTAACCAGTTGGTGGACTAAAGAGGCAGTTTTTTTTAAAATATTTGCTTCTTTAACACAAGCGAAGAATAAAACATTATATATATCTATATCAGGATATCTCTGTATTTCAGTGTGACATATGCACACTGTCCAGATAGAGAGTCTCTCATTGTCAAAATGACTCATTTATATGTAGAATTGATAGAGAATTCTAACTTTTTCCTGCACACCAAATTGTAAATAAAAGGCATACTCTGGGTAGAGATTTTTTTTTTTTTTTAAACTTTTACAAAAGTACAGATTTCAGTAGAAATTGATACTTTTGTAAATTAACCTATTTACACCCCCCACTCCCCTCTGGCCTCAATCAGACAACATATCCTGTTACTTCCTGGTTTGGTTAGCTCAATGGAGCTAAACTCAAGAAGCAGCAATTGCACAGAGCACCTGCCTTGCAAAGACTTCTCATTGAGCTGTATTAGGAAGTCTGTGATTGGACAGATAAAGTCTGGGTGGGGTTAGTAGGGAAGGCTGGCAACGGCAGCAGACAAGAGAACAGCAGGTTTGGTTTTTAAAGGGAATATCTATTAAACCGTAATTTTAATTTATTTTGTATTTAGGGAGTGGAGCGTCCCTTTAATTATTACCTTTGTTTCTATTTTTTGAAGTCTATAAAGCGCATCATATAACTTATGCTTTGCTACAAGTAAACAGAGCAATCAAATCATGGGAGACAGACACGTCAGCATACGGAAACATTAGGTCAAATAGGCCTTAGGTGAACAAGTTTCAATTCTAACAGGAGATGGTTGCATAACATAAAAGGTAACATGCATTGTTTATCTGTGTCTGTATAGCAGCCCAGCTCATTAACATGTTAAAATACTTCCCACGTATCACTTCCCAGTATCACAGGTACAGTACTTTGCTGGGTTTCATAGTGTTAATGTGTGTGGGAGCATTTGATTCATGTTGTATTCACAATTTTTTTTTCAGTTTATTTGAGTATTTATTAAAGAATTGGGGCTATCTATTCGTTTAAACTGAACTGAAAGGGGGGGAAGATGTTATGTTTTCATCTAATGAATTAACACACTACATATATCATATGGAGTCAAGAACCATTTACTGAATTCATTTACTACTATGATTATGCAATGTCTTGTTAATGTGCTGTCTACAACCCACACTAAATGTAAAATATTCACTCTATACAATAAATTATGTATTAATTTTCTTGTGTTTTGCACCTTTTCAAATGTATTTAAAAACATTTTAGCAGATGTTGCTGGTTAAATAAAACATTAAATTATTTCCACTAATACTTCTGACTTTGAAAAAAGTGGTCCACCATACCTCTGTTGTGAAAGAAGAGATTGTTTGTAATACAAGTTCCATTTTTAGTCCATATGCTTCCGTGAATGCGTTCTTTGTATGTATATATTTTTATTATGCAGAGTTTTATTTTCAAAATACTATTTCCTTTTTTCCCGCACTTTTTGTTTATTTTAAGCAGTAACATTAAAGGATAGTTGTCACATCAAAGGAAAAAAAAAAAAAAAAATATATATAATGAAGTGGTTGTCCTGATGAAAGTTCCTGAATGGAACTGAAGCGTTGACTATTACACTTTTTAGCAAAAGAGGTTCCTAAGAAAGCTATCTGGGAGTGCTGATTTTTTTTCATTCATATATGTCTATATAATTATTTTTGCAGTGCAGGTCATGAGTTGCAATCAGTGTAGATCAATACATGAAACGTCAAGTAAGCAAAGTCAGTCATAACCTAACACATATTCAGGTAACATGGGAACGCTACACCAATTATTTTGTGTTAGACATCGTAAATGATAGGCCCTGCAATGGGGAATGTATCAAGGTCTAGGGCAACAATATGGGTAATGTACTATTAGCGTAGGAACTGGTAGTTTTGCACGCCTCTGCTGGGAATGGTTCCTACGTATGCTTATATACCGTAGAGGGTAAAAGTACCGATTTGATCCACCAGTTGTAA